GGAGCCGTGGTGACGAGTGCCGCCGCCGCCAACGCCGGCGACTCCAGGCACGGCTCCAAGTCCAAGAGTAACGGATCGTGTTCCTCGTCTTCGTTGGTGAATAAAAAAGACCCTTCCAATTACAAGGACAAACAGTGCGACAAGTCATCGTCCTCTTCGCAGAGGAAGGACTCGGTTGTGGGGTCGCCTGTGAAAAAGGACTCGTCGTCGAGCCACAAGTCCAAGTCGAGTGGCGGAAGTGCTTTGTGTTCGCGGCGCGAGGAGCACGATGCGCGCGACACGAAACGCCACGGGGACGAGCGGCGGCGCGACAGCAAGGATAAGGACGAGGAGCGCTGGAGCAAGGACGGCGCGGACGACGACGCAGACGGCAGCAAGGAGCGGAGGACGGGCGGCGGCGGGGGCTCTAGCGCGGGCGGCGGCAAGGACAAGCGAAAGGAGCGCGCGGGGGGCGGCGCCACGCCAGCGGGCGTCGGCTGCAAGCGGCGCATGAGCTCCCAGGACTCCGCCGACAGCGCCCCCGACGCGGACGCCAAGCGGGCTAAATTGTCATCGCCAATGGCCTCCGCCGCCAAACCCACCCCCGAACGCCGCGACTCCAAGGACAGCTGCCGCAGCTCCTCCAGCAGCAAACGCTCGTCTTCCATGTCCTCGCATCACGACAAGCCGTCCTCCAACAGCGCCGCCGCCGCCTTTCCCAAGGGGGGTGACAAGGCACAGGACCACAAGAGCAGTGGCGGTGCCAAGGACGAAACGGAGCGTAGACGCGACAAGGACGCCGGCAAGGCGCAGGACGGTTTCGACAAGCACCGCAAAGACAAGAAAAAGAAAAAAGGTGACCGCGAAAGCCCGAAGGACCAAAGGGACGTGAAGCTGTCTTCGTCGAAGGAAATGCCCAACGACAAGGACTTCTCGCCGCGAGCGCTCAAGAAAAAGGAGGACAGCGAGCCCGAGGAGCGGGAGGAGAAGCACCGGCACATGAAGAAGGATCGCAAAAAAAGCAAGGACGACACCGGCTCGGTAGTGGTGCAGCCAGAGCCCGTCGCACCAGCGGAGGACACTAAGAGCAAGACCTCGAAGAAGGACAAGGAGAAACGTGGCGTCGGCACAAGCGGCACCGATCGCCGGAAAGACAGCGTGGACTGCACGACGGGCAAAGACAGCAAGGAGGAGAAGTGCGCGTCCGCACCAGCGCCCGCTTCAGTGCCCTC